CTGAGCGTTTGACCAGCGAGTGAGGAGTTAGAGCCAGCAACTACCTCCAATAACAGGCATGACCCAACATATGGGCTTGACCGTGAGGGGGAGTGTTGGAGTCCCATATCGACTAGGCACGTTCAAGCCTATTGGGTTATAAGAGGGGCTAATCCTCCCATTCAACAAGGCCTTTTGGGTGAGGAGTTAGGCCCACCTCAAATTCTAACAGTAATAAAGGGTACGAAAGTTATAAGTACTCATGAAAGATTATCAAAAGCGATATCTTTATTTGTTTGTAATAAAAAGTACATAATCGAGCAGGATAAAGGCTACAAAGGCGGATCACTGGTCCTCGTCCCCAGGCCTCGGAGGGGCAACCTCAACGTCTCCAGGTTGGTCGCTGACCTCCTGTCCAGGTGCGAACTCCTCTAGGACATACTCCGAATGTTCTTCCAGATCAGATCCCCGAGCCATCTCCTCAGCCTCGACCCGCGCCAGGGTAGCAAGTTCGTCCTGGTACTCACAAGGGAGATCGGATAGATCCATCTTAGGGTTCTTCGCCTGAACGGCAAAGATAGACTTTATCTTCCACTCCGCAACCCTGTTCTCGATCTCTGCTTCCTGCTGCTGCATTTTCGCAGTTAGCAAAGTGACGCGACCTCGAGTTAAGTGCAGCACGGCCTCGAGCTCTGATCGCTGCTTCTCAGTAGCCTCCCATAGATCGGCCCTTTCCTGCTCAACTTGCGAGGCTCGCTCGGAGGTATTTTGCAGCGCTTGGTCTTTCTCACCAGCCTCCTTAGAGAGTCTGGCCACGATCTACTGAAGCTCCTTCACTTCCTCGCTGCGTTTGTCTAGCTCGATCCTCTGAAAGTCCACTGTGCGGTGGGCAGCGTCCCTCTCAGACAAATGCTGGCTTGCTTGAGCAACGGACGAGTCTTTGTCTGCTCGTTCGACCTCCAGCTCCTACTTAAGCCGCGCATTCTCCTCCTGCAGCTCAATCAATTCCTCGGCAGTCCCCAACCGAGCCTTCTGCTAGGACATATGAAGGGAAAGCAAGGCTTGCACGATAAAGAGTTAATCTACTTCCCTCTAAAAAGTGAACAAAAGTCCTCGTTGGGGATATCTAGTTTACCTGGCTCAGGAGTTGGAATGATGTGGACAACAGGTTGACGGAGTTGGATGCCAGAAATTGCTCAAACGAGTCCGCAAGCCCACATTCCAACAATGTTAGAACTACCGACTGCAAATGATCTGGTAACTAGGCCATTGAGTCTAGCATGGGTGTGCCGGAACCTCAACAGGTAGAGCCTGCCCCTCTTTGCCCGACCTCTTCCTGAGGACTGCAGCCGCTGGTCGTGTCAGTGACCGATGGAAATGCCGGTGGGCCCTCTAGGTGGCCCTCCCTCCCGAGACGCTTGGTAAGACTGCGACCTCTCGGGCAGAATGTCCAAGTCTTCCGCTTCGGACTCTGATTCCTAGGTCCAAATTTTTCACCTCTTCTTAGGCCTCTGGGCTGTGGTTTTCTGCTTCGGGCGATTAGCCAAAGACTGGGGAATGTCCGTAGGTCGGGTCAAAGTGCCCGTCGGTGTCTCTCCGACAGGGGAAACACTAGGAGCAGCTCTAGTTGGTCTGGTGGTATGCCTCCGGGGAAAAGAGAATTGCCTTGGTCGTGGTGACTTGGACACCCTGGGAGGCATGGTCACTGTATGCGAACACCGTTAGTAAAATAGTTCGCTGCAAGAAAAATTAGAAAGGACACGTCATGAAACTTACTTGGTGGGGTCTCAAAGGCCGCGTCCACGTTGAAAAAGTCGTACCTTTGCAAGTTTTCGGTTGTCACGAGCAACCTCGCATCTCAGCTTTCCTCAGGCAGAAGACCGAATGTTATGATTCTGTCTGTGAGCAGATTCAGATTGGTCGTTCTGTTAACTGTCAGAAAAACAAACAGCTCATTATCGAAGAATAGCAAAGTTTAACGAATTCAAAGGGAAAGAGAGCTTACTTGGATCCCGGAAGCAGCAGATGCCATCATAACAAAAGAAGAAAAATTTCGCATCATATGGCCCCACATTACTCGGATAACTATGTATCCCCGCTTGTATTGTGTTTCGCCTGGACAAGTAGTAGGAATCCTTGTCCTTGCTCTTTTTTAAGATGTAAGAACAACCGAGCTCAATTGCGGTTAGCTCGCCCAGTCCATTCTCCCGACACGCGATGGACATGGTAATGACAATCATGTACGCATTCGGGGTAAGCTGTATTGGTGCCATCCTGAAGTGGTCAAGGACCGACCTGATGAATGGGTGGAAAATGATCAGCCCCCCACCTTTGAAGATATCTTCGGAGATCGCGGCCAACCCATATGGCAGATCCTGAGCAATATGCGCCCTATCGCCAAAAACCTCTATGCTGACAGCGAACTGGTTAACCACCCTTTGCAACTCGTCATCAATAAGCATTGAGTAAATTTCTCAAGGAGGACTCGCAGGGGCATCCTCTGCGAGTGAGCTAGTCCCTTCCTCGGCTCTGGTCGTTGGGGGGTCCATTTTGCAATCTGCAAAAGCGACAAGAAGGGTACCATTCAGTCTTCATACACTATTTCGTACAATGACGTGGAGGAGAGATATTTCCTCCCTAAAACCTAGAGAAACCCTAATAGAATACTCAATGAGCCACCATTAATGGTTCTGACCCAACGGAGAATATTTCATCTCCGACGAGCAACCGATGGACAATCGTCGCACGACGACTATTGAAGAAAAAAAACAAAACCAAAAACAGAAAGAAATTGTCTGTACCTCTTAAAATGAAAAAGATGACTTCTGTTTCGAAAGAGAAATGAACACCACTCTGGAAGGCTAAGAATCAAGACTTGCGAAAGTTTCTCGCTGTGTGAAAATGAAAATACTATGACTTTGCCTAAAGAGAGCTTGGGGTTTATATAGTAGAGGAAATGACGCTTTGGTTTCTCGAAATCAAACGACGTTTGGACGGAAAACGCATCTGACCGTTGGTCGCGACCACGTGTCATGAATCAACGAGGAAGAGTGACCGTCACGCCTCGAGAAATCAGATCATCATCCCTTTCTGTTGAAACGCTCAAGCGATGACATATTTTCCATCCACATTTAATGTGCCCATAATCGCATTTAATGCTTTGGTAGGGAATGTAGTTTCAGCATGACTCGCATTTAATGCGTATGGCTGACACTTATTGTGCATAAGACACGTCTGTCAGAGCAAAAGGCATTTCATTTAGTGCACCTGCTACAAAAAGTGCAACAGATAACATCTGAAGAGGTCGTTACCTAAAACACTCTTCACCGTCGCGAAGCCAAGTGATTGTTCGACCTCATCTCACGTTGGCTACGAAACGACGCGACACCAGCTGTGAAGTAGCGTGACCATCTATCCTCTTGGAAGCTGCTAAGTGTAAACAGGTTGAGGATTCCACTCAGGACGGAATCATCACTCTAGCACTGGGTACTTGTGACTGGGTCGCTAACTCTGAGGTCGTAGGCTATCCCAGGTCGCTTGTGAAAGAATGTCCTCTCGATCTCCTTTGCAATCAGGTCGGACCGACCAGCATCTCCTCAAACTCATCGAATCAATGCATTTATAGTTTCCAAGGTTCGATTCTCAAACCTTAAAAACTAGGGGACTTCTGTTATGCCTAGGAAAGTAGGGCTGAAGCAGTGCCCTGTCAACGTAAATAGTCAGACCTCGGGAAGGTCCCACTGACGTTCTAGCGCAGCCACGTCGTGTGGTGACGTGAGCAGCACATTCCTATCAGTGAAGTGGGTGTGCGACAGACTGAAGAAAGGCTGGAGGATGTCCATGTGTTTAAATCTCTGCACACGTCACGTAAAACCCTTGAAATAGGTAAGTGACGGGACGCAAGGAAGGATCTGCATGATATCCGCCCCCCTTTCTATGGATTCAACAATGATTACACCAATGTATCCCACTATAAATAGAGAGTCTCTCTCCCGTTTGTAGGATTTGCTCATTCTACTCTTTATTAGCTCAACTTACTCTGTAATAGCTACTCTCTCGCCCTCTCATTTATAATCTCAACACTGTAAAGTCAGCTCGCTAGCCGCGACCTGATCCCCCAAAATATAAATACTATATCAGTGGACGTAGGATTCGCTTTTGAGCATCCGAACCACTTTAAACGTTGTGTCTACTCTTACACTCACAATCTCTCATTCACGTGTGTCTCCTGAGTCACCTCAGCATTTCCCACGTGCGAGTCATTAGTGTCAAAATCAAGCATCAACAATAGGCAACCTTGTTCTTGTTTGAGAGAAGACCAAGTACCACTACAATGGCTACCTGTAATCCTCCACATTTTGCCATATTATTCTACCAGCATGATAAAATAATCGAACTCAACTACACAATCATTTGTTATGACAAATAAATGGGCCTCGTATGATAGCAGATTCCTTGTAGAAATGCAGACTCTTAGTTAAAATCAAAAGAAGGGAAAACAGGGGAATCTGTTTCTGATGCGAAGCTTTCCATAGAGGTTTACAATTCATTGACCTTTTTTAATTGAAAGAGTAAAGCAGTTATACTTTCTTTAACTCTCCGATTAAATTGAAAGTCTATTGAACCGAGGATGAAGCTACCTTTGAGCTGGGGATGACCTCTCCAAATTCTTTGAATGTCTGTTGTTGTTGTGTCTTGCATCCATTACGACCCTGATAGAAATAAACAGTCACTTGAACTAGTCAACATCAGTTTTCCAGATTGCAAATCACTAAATTGTCTAAATTTCTTCAGGTTCCCAGTCATAAAAAAGAGGAACACATAAAATACAAAAAATTAAAAATCAATCATATAATAATTACATAGAAACTTCTTAATTTAAAACAAATTATAGGATATCTCCTGAATATTTTTGACCCACTTCTGCAACATAAACAGTCAACTCAATCAGTTGATGGTTTTATCACATGTACATAATCTGTCGATGATTTATCAAGCACACCATTGTTGAAACGCCAAACTTGTACCATATTAAGCTCTTACAAGGATTAAAAAAGAAAGAAAGAAAGAAGCAGCAACAATATTTTGTAACAAATATTTACAAGAAATGTTCCACCATTGGAGACGGACATGGGTTATTCCCATCACTAACATTAACATATTAACATCTTTCACAGTAGGTAAAGCTTGGCACGAGTTGCTTATGTCAAGAAGCGCTCACAACACAGAAAATGATCCCATATCAACCCTAAGGTGTCCTTAAAACATATTATATATAGATAGTATCAGTGTCCGCCTTCTGTTCCTGGAAATTGCAAAAAAAGAAACAATAAACGCATGTAAGATTTCCATGTACTGAAAAATAAGCTAATCATAAATGCAGAAATATGTAATAAACAGAAGCAATTGATTGCTCCATATGATTCATTGCAAGCCAAAAAAAAAAAAATCATTGAAGGTAAAAACAGCTAAACGTAAAATATTTTCATTATAATCTTCCATGTTGAAATTCTTCATAAAACTTTTGGAAAAATTCTGCATTTCATTGAAATTTTCTATGCTGAAATTGTTTTGCAACTCAACAGTGAAACTAGAAACAAGATCAGGAAAACAAGCACTTCAATGATAAATTTCTGAATAGCAATAATTTCAACATTTATTAAGTCCCACATGAAAAGAGAAGGTCAAGTGAAAAAGTTGAATGCAATAAATAACAATTACCAGTATGTCTGAAGCTAATCGCTTCAACTTCAGAGTAATCTCCAATGCAGACTCCCCAGTAGAAGACTCAAAACTAAATCGATCAGCATGTCTTACCTTGAGCCTCAGTGATGAGCTTTCATACAACTTAACTCCTGTGTGCCAAACCCCACTAACACGATACCGAACCCTCGAGTTTGACTTCCCTAGGGGCCATCTCAAACCAACCTTCAGTTCTGGATCTAAAACAGCTGAATTAATCAGATTTCTAAGGCTCTGCATTTCATCATCCTGGAAGAACGCATATAATCAGTTTGATCATAGATGTCATTCTCAGGGATAACTGAAACAGATATAATCTAAAACATTAGAGTCTCAAAAGAGACGCCCACAAAAAAGGAATAAAATGAAAAAAATTAAATAAGGAACCTCATTGTACAAAGCAAAAGCATTAAAATTTTTTAAGCCTACGAGTTGGCAATTAAAACTTTGATTCTGATGATTTTGTTTTTTACTTCAACCATTTGTTAACTTTCATGATGTCTGGAGGGAAAACTCTCATAGATTGTAATCCTCAGTCAAAAGGTATTATATATATGACTGTATGTTTAACTCTTTGAGCTTGGTCTTGTATTTCTTCTTTATTCATCCTTTAGAAAATAGACTTTGGCCAGATAAAATCAAATTATAGGACGAAGATTTCCTTCTACTGCTTTAAAGTTGCTTTTTTCTTTGTCTGAAATGAATAAATATTCTGATTAGTAATAACAAAGATAAAATTAGCATGATTAAAAGAAAGACAGAAAATAGAAACAAAGTTATGCAAAATTATTCTACCTAAAGCATCTAATGCGTAGGTTTGCACATTAACTTACAGTTAAGTCAGTGACAACACTCTTAGTCCATAGCATCAGCCTCAGGTCTAAATTCTTATCTGCGCATGATATGTCTATGGCCATTTGACGAGCATGGTTTAGTTCAATCTACAAGAAAAATATCTCTGATTGAGCATGAGGCTCTACACACAATATAAAGCTAAATTTAAAGTGAATATAAAATATTTTTGGCAATTCAAAATATAAATAAACAAATGAATCCAATGAGGTACTTAAAATTTCTTTATGTCCCTGATATATTAACTAGATCCAAATCCCATGAAGCAAAAGGCACTCTTAAAGAAGGGTAAATTCAAGTTGGTTCATAATCAGCAAGGTTTTTGCAATTTAACACTCAGGATCACACCTGTAATGGTACATATACTTTGGTTTATATCAGGGCTTCTTACTCCTGGATAAGCAAGTCCTTTACAAACAATTCAAAAGAGTTGAAAACTATTTCTTTATTCTTCTTCTTTGAATGGTTAATTCCATTTAAATGTTTTTGGGAAGACTTCAAATAAGGTCTCAATCAGATTCTAAAATTTATATCCTAATCCTGTTTCACCTTTCTTGTTTATATTATAGTAGTTCCATCACTTTTTACATCAAAGTTCATCTCACAAATTCAGTTCAATCCATTCATTTTAACTCAAAAACATAGATATAGGTACCGCTAACAGCTTCATTTACCTCTACAGTTCCTAGTATCATTAACTTTAGCAAAAGCCTCATTTCATTGAATTTTCTAAAGTAACCAACTCTGAATGTTTAAGAATCATGATTATGAAATTGAAGCATCAACCTCCATCTTCCTATTTGCACAACACTGATTTATTTTTATAATAGTTAAAATAATCGCATCATTCATGCAAAATCTAAGATATTATCCACATATATAAGCATGTAAGTAACAGAAAACTTGCCTTGTAGAGCTCAAACGTTTTATCTTCTTTTACTCTACATTTGCATAAGATTGACTTTCGTCATGTGCTGTCAATCACCTAGACAATGAAATTTAAGTCAATAGCTATATTATTTGAAGTACAAGTAACATGATTGTAATAGACAGGTGTTTAGAAGATCAATTACCCAGATATAGTATACATCCTTATCTGCTTCAAAATCAACTCCTATTTTTGGCACAACTTCACTTATAATGTTTTCCATATAAGACGTAGGAACATTTGTATAAATTGTTTCTCTTCAATCGTTTCAAAGTGGTTTCAATGACTGGATCTTTTTTAACCTTTTCTATGTTCAACATAACATGACTAGAAGGGGAAATACCTTTGGTACACAGAGTGTCATCATTATATGGTTAGAAATAGGTCACCCTGCAGATTGATTGTTTTCCCAATTAAATATGATGCGCGACTGGTCAGTCAAGAGAAAGTCAGGCAGGGGAAATGATAAACGAGTTACTAGCACCAACAATGAAGCAGTTCTCAGGTCAGGCAAGGCATCAACAGCAGTGCTAGATATGTGCTTTTGCAAAGTGTTTCCGTCTTCACAAAGGACAATGGAAAGTCAAACGATGGGTTTGAGTGAACTAGCAAATCATAACAAAAAAAAGTGGTCAATTCCAAGGCCAAGAGGTAGCATGCATGATAAATCATTGTTTTAATTTTCTTTACTTTGGCTTTTTAAGAAATATTACCCAAAGTTTCTGATTCAGAGATTTAATTCACTCCTATCCCTTCCGTGGGAATAGGTGGGGGATAACCTTATAATTTCCCTCTATGTCAACTGCTAATTCTTAATTAACCATAAGATTCTCGTGACAGTCTCAGTCATTTTGGCTTATGTAACATTCCTAAAGAAAGAGAAATCAAGAACACATTATATAACATTCAAGCCAATAGAGCAAATCAATTCTTTACCTACAAAAAAGAATTTTGCCAAATCTGGCGACCAATAGACGATCTTGAACAGGCACGCCAAGAAATAGAAGAAACGAAGCCATGTGCTCTTTCATCAAGAAGATATAAAAGTGGGGTTGGGTAAAGTAAATGGAGAAATTGAAAAGACTGCTTTTGCTAACAATGGATTGGATGGAAGTGAAAGTGAATTGAAGGGAACAAAGTAGAAAGAGAGTGCCACTGACCAGTCCGGGGCGAGGAGGAAGGTTGGTAAAAACCCGGGTATAAACCGGTCGAACCGGGTCCAAGAAAGTCCAACGTCTTGAGGTTTTACATTTGGGGCTCAATCAAATGTCAATTGGGCTAGTACTTCACACTCCAAAAGAATGGGCCTGGGCCTGGGCCTGGATAAAAGAGGATACCCTATGTCTAACATATCTCATGTTGGCCAGCAAAAGAGAAGGGTCAAGAAGGGGGTAATAACGGTGGTTGTCGAGTGTTCTATCTGATGCTCAAGTCAATCTGTAGTTGAATTAACGATTTACTAAATGTGCATTTACGTTAGAAAAATGAGAAAGAATAGTTCTCGATTTTAGATTAAAAAAACAGTAAAAGTCTATGATATCAAGATGGTAATATATAAATACATACTAAGTAATTGTTTCGTTTAATAACTATTAATTTACTGACTAATGAGATAATGTAGCGGTATTTTATATTTTCTTTCCAAAATATAACTTGCAAGACTACATTCATACTTAAATTGTAATTTAATAACTAATCATTTCAAATTTTCAATAATTTTTAGAGGAAGTTTATGAGTATTAATATTGCTTAGCTACTTACCTTCGATTGGCTGATGCGTATATTAGGGAAGAGTTAAAATTCAAGCCCAATTGGTTTGAGAGGCTCTTCCTGAACCACGGAAGCTAGTTTTAAGAAATGATAAATCTATCCTTACAAAGAAGTTTACAAAGTAGTTTACAAAGTGAAGGAAAAAACAAAAGAAAAACGGAAAAAGAGAAAGAGAGAGAGAGAGAAATGATGAAGATGAAGGGTGGAGATTAACTTTGTATGCCTCCTTTGTAGGCTTCTTTGTAAGAATAGCAACTCCCTTTGAGAAAATGCATGAAATTGAACAAGGCCTCGGAGGGACTTCGCAACCTCATCAATACAACAATTCTTTTCTTTAATTTTTTTAGGCATTTTCCGGGTCTTTTTCAATCGTTTTTATTGCGCTCTCAATTCTGACAACTTCAATTATTACAAGAATAATGTTATTTGCACTAACCCAAACCCATACTAATTCAGTACTAACTGATGTGACATACCATTTTTATTTCCACGTCAATTCCCTCTGAAAACTTAAAAAAAAAAAAAAAAATTCAAAATTTTAATTGTCTCAGTTAGTGCTTAGATCATTATGATTTGGTTAATATATATAACATTACTTTTACAACAAAGCAAGGTGCTAAAAGTCAAAAGTAAGTATGATTTTTGAACACTGGTACACTACAATGAAATATTATCTTATTTTGCAATAAAGTCTTATCTTATTTTGCAATAAAGTCCATTGAGACTTTATTGCAAAATTATCCAATAAAATATTATCTTACTTTGGTTGTTATTAACTTTATATTGTTTTATTCATAAAATATGTCCAAAAGGTATGAAATTAATTTTCTAAATGGGACAGTGTGGTATCTGGAGATCCTTCTTTCTCTCCCCCACTTTCCCACCATCGGCCCCACCCCGAACCTGACTTCCTCTCCCATCCCCACATTGTTGTGGCCTCACTTGAGACCATGATGCTGGCCTTGCGATGCCATTGTTGCGACCTCAGTTGAGGCCATAATGGTGTTCTTGCAGGGCTGCATCGCTAGTGGCCTTGCGAGGCCATTGTTGCGGCCTCACTTAAGTCCATAGCGCTAGCCGAGCAAGTCCGCCATTGTGACGTTGTTTGCACTATTTTTATCTTCCAAATTTTCTTTTCAATTTTTTTCTTTGTATTTTTTTGTTTGAGTGGTTTTTTTTTTTAATTTTGATTTATGTTTTTTGATTGTTGTGACAGTGAATTGTTTGTAAACGATGGTGAATGGATTTTACAGTTTTTTTTTTTTTTTTCCATTTTTATGGTGGGCTGAGTTAGCGTGACACAACACGCCGAGGCCCTCCCTATCCCACGAGGTTTCATCCTAAAGCCTAGCACTTCCTCATGGAGTTCCTTCTTCCTTTTCACCAAATCTTGAAAAAATCACGGTCTGTTTGGTTTATTATTTTGATATTTTTTAAAATAATATTTTGAAAAAAGTAAAATTGGGTTATATTTATAAGAAAAATAATTATTAATATTTTATGAGATGAATAAAGTAAAATATGATTTTGAGAATATTGAAACAAATGTATTTTTGAGTTTTAATTATATTGAAAAAACTAAAATAATATTTAGAAGAGTGTACAAAATTAAGACTGAAGGCATCTCCTTTTCTTCTTCACTTGGCCGGCGCCTATTTCTCTCTCACTTCCATTTTTCTTTCTTCACTCTTTTCTTCTTCTTTCTTTCTTTTCCCCCGTTTTCTTATTCTCCTTCTCGATCTTTTAATTTATAATTCACAAAAAATATCTTGACAAATTTCACTTTAATCCTCACTTATTTCAGTTATTACTACTCCCTTGAAAGTCTTTAATTTTTGCACTTTACCCTCACAAAACTCACAAAATAAAATTCAGTAAAATCCCATAGAAAATACGGGGTATTAGTTGGTGGGGATCGGATTTGTGCACTATGGAGTATGGAGTGGAGTTGGAAAGGTGGGTTACGGCAGGAGACAATGGGGAAGGGGGCAGGAAGAAAGAGGAAGGAGGAACGGGGAAAGAATATTATTTTAAGAATTAATTTTTTTAAAATCATTTTTTTACTAGGATAATTATTGTGGGCCAATATGGAAATTTAACTTCCTTGTCTGTGTTATAAATATTTTTAGTAACAAACAACAGATGGCGCTTGGCAGGGGGTTCATAGTTATTATGGATACGATGAAGGATTTATTTAATTTATAGAAAACTTGAGGGGGTTTTGGAGTTTTCTTGACAAAATATTGCACCAATTGGAGTGAAAAACACTTGCACGAAGTCAAAAAGCAAAATAAGATGAAAATATGGCATGGAAACACCGGCTGGATTAGAATGCAAGATAGAGAGACGCCCTTGAAAGTGTAGGTTAAATTGAGCAAATAAATTAAAAAAAAAAATAAACAACCTTAAACTTTGATCCTCAACAATATTCTTTAGAGATAGAATAATGGCAGAGATAGCAGTTGCAGCTGCAATATCGGTAATCGATAAGCTCATTAAACATTTCATTTTAGTAAATTCCCAGCGCAAGGAACAGGCCGCCGTCAATGATTTTCGTTCCATAAAAAACTGGCTGAACACGATGCAAGCCTACTTGAAGGATACAGAAGAAATAAAAGAAGTCACTGAAGGCTTCAAGGATCGGGTGAAACAAGTGCGTGATTTAGCATATGAAATACAGGATGCAATTGAAGAGTTTATGCTTGAGGTTCCTGATCACTTTCATGAGCATAAAATCACCCGATTTCTTCATGATGTGGCTCACTCTTTAACTGACAAAAAACCCCTCTCTCGGTTGTTCTCACGCATGGAGACTATCAAGGTCAAGATGAAAGGTATAGAAGAATTAGATCGTTTCCGCATACTTCCATCTGAACGAGCCTCGAGGAGTTCTGGTGCAGTTTGTTATCCGAAAGTCATGGATTATGAATTAGTAGGCATTGAGAAGCGTAGAGATGAACTTATTAATCTCATAAAAAGTCGAGAATCGAGGAAGATGGTGGTTTCAGTGTTTGGAGATCGTGGCTCAGGTAAAACCACTGTCATCGAGGAAGTTTATGGAAAGCTGAAGGAAGATTTTGAGTGTCATGCTTTGGTTTCAGTTCCTCACCCTGTGCCTGTGGAGGGCATATCAGATAAGATTTGTGCAGCAATGGAGATACCAGTTCCCAAAGGAACAGATGCAAACCAGAAGCTGCTTTCGTACTTACAGCAAAAGAGGTATATTATTTTTTTAGATGGAATTTGGAACAATGATGAGTGGAATAGTATTCAGCGTGCTTTACCTGATGGTCGCCCTCGTAGTAGGACAATTATTTCCACACATATACGTGATGTAGCCTCTTATTGTGCAAAGTCTTTGAATCACATCTACTCTCTAAAAGCTCTAACATGGGATGAGGGATGGGAACTTTTCTGTCATAAGGCCTTCCGAGGAAATGAATGCCCTCAACACTTGGTTAGCTGTTCTCAGCGTATCTTAACAAGGTGTGACGGATTGCCATTAGCAATAGTTGCTGCAGCTAGCCTTTTGGCCAATAAGCCACAAACTACATCAGAATTTGAGAAATTGCATGATAGCTTAGGTCATGAGCTAGGAAGCAGTGACCATTTATCAGTCCTGCGAAAGATATTACTACAAAGTTACTTTCATCTTTCCTATAATCTCAGACGCTGCTTCTTGTACTTTTGCAATTTCCCAGAGGATCGTTCGGTGACACGTGGAAGACTGGCTCGGTTGTGGATAGCTGAACAGTTTGTTGAGGAGGGAAGAAGTAAGACAGCGGAGGATATGGCCAATGAGTACCTCAATGAACTCATTCAAATGAATCTGGTGCATGTAAGTCAGAGCGATCTTCAAGGGCGAGTCAGAAGTTGTCGGGTTCAAGCTCTTGTGCGAGAGTTCATCATTTCCAGGTCCGAGGAAAATAACTTCAGTCTAGTTCTCACAGAAGGAGACAGGATTGTAGCACCTCTGCCTCCTAGACGCTTATCTATCACCAATTTTAGCAAAAATCCAATACCCGCAACGACGGACTTATCTCGTGTTCGCACCCTCATCTCATTTGGGAGAGAGAGTTTTAATCAGTTAATGTCTGGAAAGCCACTTGACAGCTTTAGGTTTTTAACAGTTTTAGATCTGGAAGATGCAGCTTTGGAATGTTTTCCACATGAGGTAGATGCTCTCACACTCCTGAGTTACCTAAGTTTGAGAAATACAAGGATCGAAACAGTTCCAAGATCTATTGAGAAGCTCCTAAACCTTGTGACTTTGCACCTTAGACAAACATGTGTCAAGGAGTTGCCCAAGAAGATCCGTAAACTTCGCAAGTTGATCTACCTCTTTGTTGACTCGATCAATGTGAATCAAGCTCGTGTAGGAGCAGAGATGCCTCCAGGAATTGGAAGGTTAGAATCTCTAGAGAAGCTGTCACTTGTCAAGGCAAGCAAGAAGATTATTAGAGAGTTGGGAAACTTGGTTCAGCTGAGGAAACTGGGGATCACAGAGCTTGAAAGTGATCATGGAAGGGATTTGTGTGCATCAATTGAAAACATGCTGTATCTTTCCTCTTTATATGTGTCTTCAACAAATGGAGAGGAGTTTCTTGCTCTAAATGATGTTAGTAGACCTCCTCGTTTCCTTTGTAGTTTATATCTGGGAGGTCGTTTACAGTACATTCCTGAATGGATTAGCTCCCTACACAGTCTCGCTAAGATATGTCTTAAAGGGTCAAAATTGATGAACTGCCCTCTTGAGGCCATTCAAGCTTTGCCTTCGTTACTGGAGCTTCGATTGGTTGATGCGTTTACTGGAGAAGAGTTGAAATTCAAGCCCAATTGGTTTCAGAAGCTAGTGATATTAGAGATCGAACAATTCAATGAATTGTGCAAGGTTGTCGTGGAGGAAGAAGCTCTTCCTGAACTTCAGAAGCTAGTTTTAAGAAAATGCATGAAATTGAACAAGGCCCCGGAAGGACTTCACAAGCTCATCAAATTGGAAGAAATTCTTTTGCGTGATATGCCTGAGCATGAGAATCTCATTGCAGAGATTCATGAAACCATTGATAGTGAAAAACGATCTTCGGAGGCTCGTCACATCAAAGTCAGTGCTGATTAATTATCTTCCATGCATAGGCAGTAACCTGCTGCCATTGCAAAATCTTTAATATATCTTTGGTAATGTTTCAATTTAAATGCCTATAATTTCTCATCTTTTCCTTTGCATCACATGTTGTGTTTAGGAGAAAGTATATGATATTATGATGATATTAGTGAGTATCACATGTCAATATATCCTACATACTAAGTAATTATTTCATTTAATAACTATTAATTTACAGAATGATGAGATATTAAAGTGATATTTTATATTTTTTTTTTTCCAAAATATAACATGCAAGACTACATTCATACTTAAATTGTAATTTAATATCCAGTCATTTCAAATTTTCGCTAATTTCTAGAGGAAGATTATGAGTAATAATATTGTTTTTCATTTCTTGAAATTTCTAAAGGAAGATTATGAGTCATTTCAAATCCTATAAACTTTTCATTTCTTGAAATTCAACTGATGGCTGTTTTTCTTGTATGTATTTCCATGAACAGATGATGTTTCTACCCTCGTGAGAATCTACTGTTGACTCGTCTTTCAAATTCAGCAATCAGGTATGTTATAACTAGTAATTGCTTCGTGCAGTATGCATTATCTTCTTCAGTATCGATAGCAATCAATTTATCAATGTGTTCTTGTTATATGGTAATAATGCGATCTGGGATCAGGGCATGCATGGAGTTTTCATTTAATTTCACTTGTGATATGTTGTTCAAGAGAAACTGGACGTACTCTTTACATTCTCTTGGGATTTCTATTGAAGTTTTGTGATGTATTATTTTATCTTTTAACAATTTCATGACATTGATTGGAATGCATAAAAATGGATTTAATGGGATAGAGCGTATTAATTAATTGATACTGAAAAAATTTCATATTATTATGAAGAGTAATTCACCAAAAGAGCTCTGCAATGATATATCAAATTAATTAGCAGAAAACCTGTAAGATTTCCGGGACAACAGAAGCCTACCGGGCCAAAATCCATGAACTTAAACCTAAGCAAGCCATAATTTAAGCCATCATAACTGCAACTGCAAAATCAAAACATGGACAGTAGATATTGCATGCTGACAACAAGCAATACTATACCATTCTTGATGACACTACACACATGAATTACAAGCAATACAGAACCTTTATTACAAGAGAAAGCCATAGTCATCCTGGTTGATCACTAGAAAAGATGAATTCATCAGCATCATACTTCATCTGTTCATGACAATAGAAGATTTACATCCGTAAGCTAAATTAATTCATAGGATCGCTAAAAAACAAAAGCAAAAAAAAGAAACAAAAAAAAAAAAAAAACTAATAATTTTGTTTTTGGCGGTAGCGAGCAGTTTCTACTTTCTAATAATCGGAGACTTTTTTGCGTGTTACGGTAACAAAATTGATATTAAAATGATCGTCTCTAAACGATCTATCTGTCTATATAACTTTAAACTGGAAAAATTATTGTGTTTGGCTGGGATCTAACCCAAAAAGTACAGTCACCCGAACTTTCTCTGTCAAATCCCGGCCAAACGTTGCAAATATTGCTAAAAATAATTGTAGATATAGATAGATCGTTAAAATTTGATACCAATATTTTTATCTAATATCGCCAAAACAATTTTTGGCGACAAACCCACGGTTGCCAGTACCGGTTTCCGGCAGCCGAAACTCAATCAATTATTTAAGTCTACGGGGGAAAGGATTTTAATCGGTAAACAAAGGAATTTAATCAGTAATGAATCAGAGCTTAATCAATAGAAAAAGATGTACGTATGGTGGGGCTTCGAAAAGTTTGAATCATACATTCCCAACAACTATATTTAATTTTAAACGAGTAAGCTGCTGCTCTAAAATAGACCTCTTGATGCCTCTCCACCATAAACGATTAAATCTTTTTTCAATCAGTGCCAGCTCAAGGAAATTTGAGGCCACAGGAGAAACTTTTCTATGAAGAATTTTGGAACAATTTCATATATCTTGATTATTGAAATTTTGAAGGAAATAGAATAGTAAAGCAGAGAGCCAAGAAATCAGCAGCTCGTCCGGCTCGAACTCGAACTCGCCTCCTCCCTTAATGAGCAGAGCTCGTTTAGTCGAAAACTCGGCTCGAAAATAGCCCTAGGTGTGCTCTCAATAAAAGTCTAAAAAGAGTGTATGATATATAAGAAATTGAAATTGTAAAAACATTAGCATCAGAACTAGCTGACAGTGCATTTGTAAAATTTTTAGAGGCAAAGCTAGACGTGCACAGAAACACTATAATTCATTTTCTTTAGAAGACACAGGAAAACTGTTTTTGACCGATGTAAATGCAAAGGAGTGATCCAATAAATTTGTAAAATCGAAACAGATGAAAACATTATTTGTTGCTTTCTTGACGTTTCAATGGAAGTATCAACCAATAAGCTTCCACGGAGAGTGGAAAACTATACCAAGAGAAAGAGAAGAGTTTAATATTTCTTGAACGACGTAGAGGAATTGGATATAACTTACCGAACAAAATAACTATTACAATGACATAAGCAAACAAAAAATGTTAATACAGTTTATAAGTGACAACTTGGTAAATTATAATAAAGTTGAAGAAAATTTGTCAAATCGAATGTATTGAATTATTACACAAGGAAGTTGATGAACAACTGCAATTAATACTTCATATCTACCTGCATTATTCAAACAAGTTTTGATTATGTATTCAAGTTTCAAAATCCAGTCTGGTAGCTTCTTCATATTACCTATCAAGACGAGGCAATGAAGACCATGAATAGGAGAAGCCGAGAAGTTATGGATTCTATATCAAGAATTTCTTCTGTTTTTGTCCATGCTATCCCCAAATATTCAAGTTTTTCCATATTGTAAGCGCACAGTATCTTTCTCATTTCCATTTGTCACCCTTTGCCCAACTTTCTCAAATGCCTTGGTTTTGTTGACAATGAGAATTGAACGATGGTAGAGACTCCGTACAACTTAGTTGTAATTTGTAAACAGCTGGTGTGAAATAGGCTTAGTAATTAGTCTCTCCATTAAATCTTATCGTTTGAATTGTCAGAGAATTGCATGTGAGTTTACTTCAAAACTGAAAGAGACTAGGGTGGAGATGGGTCCTGTTCCTGTATATCAAATCTACAAAGCTACTTTCTGAATAATATTCTCAAGAGACAGTGGCTTCATAAAAAATATCTACACTATTAGATAGAGGTCAAGTCAACATTTGATCATGATCCAAGGGTCTATGTTAATTTGATGTTTGTGTAGTCAACATTTGACCATTAGAGGAAAAGGTAGACGGTTTTGTTTAGAAAACAGAGGACACTGTTTTGGACTGATGTAAATGCAAGGGCCTTTGTAAAATCGGAACAAATGAAGACAATATTTGTTTTTAAGCTAGGCTAAACATAAAATTTAACTTTAACAACAGTGTTTTGTTTATGTCTGTCAAACTCCTATAGAACTATTTACAGTTTATGTACATGTAGTTTCATAGAAAAAACCAACTAAATCCGGGAAAATAGGGACTTGTTTTTGATTGGCAGAAAGTGTTCCGGAAAAGACTTATACTTTCTTTCAAGTTTCAAGCATCAAATTCAATAAACCCAATCGACTTGACTCGTGATATAAACGCAATAAAATTTCCAATTTTAACTTTAGAATTTTATTTCTGAAAACAAAAACATCAAATTCATTAATAAACAGTGTCCCTGTTTTCCTGAATTTTATTTCTACACTTATCAACAACTTGGCTTCTGCGACAAGCATGCAGAGTTCACTGTAGACTCTGCCATATCTCAAAACCTTTTCTTGTTCACTCCATCTTAATTGTTAAGATGTATGATCATGTATACAACGTTTGAATGTTGTGTTAAGAAACCACCGGATTGGACAGAAGTGTGAACACGATGCTTTTGTTGGCTAGTAAAACTTTTGGGAGTCCACGATAAAAATTGAACGATGGTAGAGAGTCCGTATAACTTAGCTGCAAACAGCCGGTGTGAGATAGACATCTCTCCACTAAAACCATTAAAATCCTATCGTTTGAATTGTCAGAGAACTGAGAAAATTCATAAACAAAGAGAGGTTGTAGCTTCCTGTTGCCATTAATTTGCATGTGACTTCAATTAACTCTAGTGATTTATAAATAATTAACCCTTAATGACTTCAATTATTATAAAGCAAAGTGCTAAGAGTCAAAAGTAGGTATCATTCTCCACCAATACAATGTCATTTCATTTAGACCTTTATTGCCAAATTATTCAATGAAATATTATCACATTTCTATTAGCCGAACGACATGCACCTATCCATAGTTTGTCATAAAAACAAGTTGGTACCTAAAAAGTTTGAGAATGACAAATACCCATTTTTCATCAAATTTTGTTAGTGAATTCTGTCTGCTGAAGAATAGTGTGGTAATTGCAATTGCTTATTTAGTTGAGAAAAAAAAAAGTGGATGTTTTCAAAACTAGAAAACTTTTGGTTGTTGGCGACAGGGAAATGGCCGAAAAATCTTACAATCACTCACCAACAAACCCATACTCCAACAGTTCTTTGTTGTGCAGATTGGGAGCTGGACGTGGCAAAAGGTCGGACATGTGGTGGGCGACGATGAAGCAACAAGGTTGGAGCGATGGGGGAGCGGCCGACGACTAAAAAAACACCATAACAGCAACACAAACACTTCTAAACAGAAACCCACCGATCAAACACCAAAAAACCAACAAAGCGCAAAAGAAAAGGTCGCAAAATGTGACTGTCTCGCAGCAGCAGATGCAGGTCATGGGCGGCAAACGGCGAATGGGGAGGGTTAATGGAGAGATAGGTTTTAAAGAGGAGAGGATGGGGAGTCGAACAGTGGTGACAGGGGTGGTCAAATCCTGCTGGGGATAGAGGAGGATGGTGATGGGAGGTGAGATTAACTGAAAAGGTGAAGGAAAATGGAAAGAAAGCTAGGAAAAATGCCGACGATGGTGGCTTTGAAGAAGAAAGATAGACTGAAACAAACTGAGATCGAAAAAAGAGAAACAACAAAAACCCAGAAATCTAGAAATCCATATTCCAAAAAATATCAAGAGTTTGAAAGAATAGAACCAAAGAGATCTTTAATGGCAAGAAAATATTTGAACTTATAATGGAACATTCATAGTGTAGAAAGAATTGAGTTGACATTCAATTCACAATCCCACTGATTGTGATTAGTTGTCATGAGTTGTGAAACGCTTGAATCCATACCAGGACTTAAAATCGTTTTTGTGTTCCTTGTCAATTATTAATTTCATAAAATATCCCTTGAATCTAATTTATATTCCGCTCAGGCATTTGACCGAACAGTTACCTGACGCACATAGGACTTTCAAGCTTTTAACTGAAAGGGGTAAAATGACATAATTGCGCTTTATTTGTTTTTCAATTTACTATTTTATCCTTTTTCAGTTAAACTTAACCAATAAATATTAATGGAAAGTAGGCGTTTATCATTTTCAAACTTTTTGGGTATCAACTGGCAAACTATGGGTGGATACATGTCGTTCCGCCCATTTCTATTCTTATCAACTTTACAAGTTATCCAATAAAGAAGATGGATCTTCATGATCTTGTGTTTCATTTTCATGACATCACAGGGCACTTTGTTTCAATCTGATTAGGAAACTTGTCTTCCAATTCTGTTATTTTTCTTGACCTTTTAGTGATGGAGTGTGATACAGATTGGCAATAGACCACTGCGAGGATAAGAATGAATTGTTTTAATCTTAAACTGGATTGAAGAAGATTGAACACCGGTTTTAACACTTGAAATCACAGAGATTATCGATCTGGGTTTGTGAATCAACGGTTAGACGGCGATCATTTTGTGTTTCTTTTGTCAAGTTCACAAGGATTAATCATTTTAAATTAAAAACTCTTCAAATATTAGGAAGTTGATGGAGACTCCGCATAACTTAGTTGTAAACAGCTGGTGTAAAATAGACCTAGGCAAATTAATTAATTAATAAACTAATCAATTTGCCTAAGGTTATGTATGGTTTTAACTTTTAGACATTTATTACTGTGATAAGACAAGGTTTCTTTATGCAAGTCGCACAATTATGGTGTTTAAAAGTCTGTGGGAAAAGGATTTTAATTGATAAACAAAGGGAATTAATTAATGTTGAAGACAAGGACAACAAGCTTCTTCCCAGAGGCTACACGGTACATTTTTCCTTTTAAATTAATAAGTCTTCAAGGATTTATGACTCTTATGGCTTGATTGTGAACGATTGACAAGGTCTAAAGGGTTTTTGATAAGTGGTAATATGAGTCGTAACGGTGTATAGAATATAAATTTGAATAATAAAATGATATTTTAGAAGTTTGTGAGTCGAAAAATATCGTCAAACCATTATTGGGGTCGGAAAAAGTCATTTACTCTATGATAAATGAATGAAAAATTTAATGTTAGACCTCGTGGCAATTGCGACCTCTGCTTTAGTGTTTTCGGAATTATACATTCAATTATCTAAAATGGGGAATAGGTGGAAGACATTGGAATATAAATAAATGGAGTTGACAACAAGCTACTTGATATTTCATCAGAAACTGCACATTTAACAGAGAAAATATGTTCATACTAGGATCCGCTCCCAACATGAACGTAAATAGGGGTTTCATCTTTCCCCATTGACACCAACACAAGACAAGTCACACCACTGCAATTCATTACTTTCCCAGTGCCCTATTCGGTTAAAACGCCAGGGACTGGGTTTGTATTCACCTTTAGAGTCCCCAATTCAGGACCCTAAGAACTGCAAACTCAGCCTATCTAACTAACAACTAACAAACATTACTAATTTACTTAAAAGTCCAATTTACCCCACTCAAATTAACACGTAATTCCCTGCCATCAAACATCTTTGGCCACAGCTTCTCCCCATTTGAAAGGCTATGGCGCCCTACCTAACTAAGATAACTCCTTCCCTGTATTCTCATCTTTTATTCTTTCTTCCTTGCTTCACATGCTGAAAGTGTATAGTTAAATGCAACATAGAGTTAACCCCTCCAATTGGTGTTTGAAACTGTAGGAGAACAAACAGCTTCAACAGATAAACGCTTCATGACATTTGGACATGGGTCCTGGCCAAAGTTACTGTTGGATATGGCGACTGTGCATTTCTGCTGTCCAATACATTTCTGGGAAATTTAAGAGTAAAAGAGGTGAGAAACACTGTATTTATTATAGTTTCTTGTACACACATGTGAGTGAGAGTGATTACCTTTTGCAAGATGTCATAAGATGTAGTAGCATGGCAAGCTCCTTGCTGGTAAGTCCCACAAGTTCCCAAAGGAGTTCCAAAGCTTGCAAATTTAATTGATGAAATGGTGTGGCCTGGACTACACCGCAGGTGAGCTTTGGGGCTGTGGAACTCTTCTGGTTTTCCATAGCTTTCAATTTGCCAGTTCTTGATAGTTGGATGATACTCAGTGACCTCAGCACAAACACTGGTTACTGATCTCTTCACAAGAGAAATTCTTGAAGGATTCCCTCCAAGTTCTTCAAAAAGGACCAACAGATTTTGGGTTGGCTTCAACCAAGACCGAGGCACGTGGTACCTGGAAATCAAAATTTGTTAGGGACTAAAATTCAAGGAAATATTCTACTTTGTAGGCCATTAAGATTTTTATAGCTGCATCATATACAACAGAATTTGGTTTGGTGTTTCTATCTTAACAGTAATACCATCTTTGGGTTGGTTGGCCACAACCAAGCTGACACTTTGGAGGTCGGTATGCCCCAGCATAATTGCAACCACTGCAGTTTCCATTAGCATATGCAGTCCAGTATCTGCCAATACTCTGCCCATTTATCCATATTTGACCCTTTCCCATACCCTGCATGTCCAAAGCCAAAGGCTCATCTCCTTCAGGTGCGTTGAAATGAGCCTGCAATGTTTTAAGAGAACAGGTTCAGATTTCCTAAAACAACGGCTAACTACCACAGTACTAGTTGAAATTTTCTATGTATTATACCTTATGCCATGTTAAGGGCTGTGGCCTTTGTACAGCTAATGATCCCTGCATCCACTCAACAGAGGAGAAAGCATTTGGGGAAACAAGATTCATTTCTTCTCCTTTCAGACCAACCTGTTCAAGGAGAAAGCCATTATGAGAAAAATCCCTCTATAATACAAACAAATGACAAATACAAAGGTAAGAATTAGCAACCTGGTAGGTCCACTTCTGCCAGGACAAGTCCCATTTTCCCTGATCAAGTCCATGCAATGCAACTGGACCAAGGATTCCCGTGTTCCATGTCTCAAAATGTCCACCCACATTCTTCATAAAAAAAATATATATATTTTTATTTTTTTGTTTTAATTTAAATGGGAGAAAAAACTGTCGTTTATCCTTTTCTTTTTTTGTATTTTTCATATGTTTCTACTCAAACAGATCACTTTCTCTTAAGAGTTCAATTGAATTGTCCCTTTTTCCATCAATTAAATCCCCAGATTTAGACTATTAAAATAGCAAATGCAAGGAAGGAGAACTAACAGGCAATCCAACAGCAACACTCAGCAGTGCAATTCTGTTTGTTCCAGCATGCAGATTCACCTTTCCAGTATATGTGAATCTCCTATACTGTCTTGTTCCAAAGGCAGAACCTATGACCAATACATGTTAAAATTGTTATTTTTTAACAGACAAAAAGGCAGTCCACAGGAAAAAATTCAACACAAATAGTCTACCTGACAGCTGTCCATTAATAAAGACATGCACAGCATGACCTGTTGATTGAACAATGAGAGTGGGGTGTTCCCCTCCATGCAGGAAGGATTCTGAAGAACCAATATCAACTCTGTAGTCACATTGGAAAGAAAAATTATTAAACATGTAAGTGAAGTCTTCTAGTACAGACCAAAGGCATATTTAAGTAACAAATTATTAAAAAATAGAAATCATCAAAGAGCATTCATGCTTTTGGAAGGACCTATTTCCCCAGTACTCAATGCTGTTTCTTTACTATTAAAGGATGAACGCTATATTGAACCTTACAGGAAGGTATAAGATGAGAAAGGCAGGAAATAGGGCATTAACAAACTCCTTGTCAGAGGAAAAACAATAGAAAAGCAAACCAATAACTATGATAAATGGAAAAGCTCACCCTCATTTTCTACGAGTTTAGTAAATGAATTTATCCACAAAACAAATTATTAAGTAAATGATGAAGAATCAGACAACAAAGGGAAAAACGTTTGCGGGATCAATCTCACCTAGTTATGTACCACAAATAATCACTAGCGTCCCTAGTGACATTTATCTGCTCCAATAGACCCTGAGTGGTGAATGTCGAGCTGTCATCTATTGAAGAAATATCCTCATTGTAACTCTCCCACGAAAACATCCCAGCACTTGTTGGCAACATTTCCATTTGTGATGTCTGAACTCCAACCTACAAAGAAGGATCAACTAATTGTCAAATATAACATAAAAAATAAATGACAAAAATGCTCATGAAAGGAAAGAAAAGTGTTGTGTCCTAGATTATGACCTTGATTGCTGTGTTCCTACTGAATAGGTTATAACATTGCACGAGGTCTTACAAATTTATACCTTGGCAGTATTAAAGACTACGTTTCTGCAGTCAGGGAGGATGCTGATGGACCAAGGAGGCAAGTTATAGTGCATGTTATTGAACATCACCCTTGCACTAGACTTCGTATCATAGTTTGAGAGAAAAGCTGCACAATCTCCATGTTCTGAAGAAAACAAATGAGCCTGGAAAACATTGACAGAGCTCAGTAAACTATTAAATGACAACTTTCAAAAGGGGATGGCTTCAAGATAGAAGGGATAACCTGTTGAAAGCTCCCTAATGAAGTAACTATAGGATCAGCAGAAACTAAAGCTCGCTCACACATCTTAATAGACCTGTGAAGCTCTTTTAGATGACCATACTTTGGTTGCCTGATCAGACCTATCAATATTGTAGTAAAGTAATTAGCTACATTTCCAAATATCATATATGCAGCAAACTATTCTGTTGGGCTTTCTTGCAGGTGGTAAAAAGGGCATAGATCAAAATCAAAATCTTACAATACATAAATAAAATAAATACCAGCACATATAAGCATTTTAGCAGCATTACGATTCAAAATTTATAGCTGTTGGGATAAACCAACGGTTTCCATGTTGCCCAGCACAGTTCTGTTTTCTATTTTTACTTCCCCAATGGAGCACATTAATCCTTCAAGTGTAGTTACTTGACAACATACACCAATGCAAACAAGCTTTCAAATCTCAGTTCATACCATATTCATCTATTGGAGCATCATAATCATAGCTCGTGGTGATGAAAGGGCCTCCAGCTGTCCGTCCGAAATTTGTCCCTCCATGATACTGTTTTACATACAAAGGAACTCGGGTTAGCTTCTCAAGTCATATATTGAAGCATTTCCTAGAAAGATTTTGAGAACCAAAGGTGAACCATGTAGTAGTTGATAAATGATCCTCCTTTCTGTATAAATCGAGCAACTGCATATGCCAAATCTTGAACTGGGCGCTGATGATTTGGGCCACCAAACTCCGAGAACCTTCACATAAAAGAAAAAGGTTTAACCAGTGAATTAACATTTCAACATTAAATTGCAAAGTGAGGTGACAAAATGACAACAACTTATGCATACCAGCCACTCCAAGCCTCTGTCCACATTGTAGGTTTGTATGGTTTGTTGGGAGTGAATGTATCACAGTAAAAACCATTACATGTGTTTATCTGTAACAAGCACCCCAAGTACTCAGGCTCAGCAAACAAGTATGATACTTAAAGCAAACTATTGTCAACCTCCATATGTCTACAACTGATAATAGTGGGTGTTTCATACATTCAGTCTAATCTCAACTTATATGTCACAGCATGAAAACATGAGATCAAAAGAACATCCAAAAAAAACAGTAGAATTAATCATCACTGTATGTTAAAAATTAAAGAGAATGCAATAAGGCTAAATTCATGCTTCAAGTGTTTAAGCGTAAGGCTACTCACCACTGGATCTGGGGCATCGTCTTCTTTGCACATCACCCAGGGGACCCCAGTTCCCATTTCTACAGCCATCTTGGCCGCCCAAGTCACGTAATTATAGCCTACAGAGCCTAGCTGTTTGCTTTGTGCTCCATACTCATTCTCAATCTGCACCAACAATTTTTTCTTTTTTTTCAAAACAAAGAGAAGGAGCTCGTCTACCTTCCGGTAACTAAAACAAAATTAAAGAATTTTAAAGCCATTTAAGAATTAAATCACTAAAAACCGTTTAGGGCATCAACCTATCACTACTGGCATTATATTTAATAATTATAAACGTCATATAAATATCATAAAAAAAATGAGTGAAACCACAAAAGACAACAACCCAGAAACCAAACCTGAGAGAGGATAATGGGGCCACCCTGGGACTCAAACAATTTTTCGCTCTTCATCAGCCCCACAATTTTCTCAGTGAAGCTTTGCATTGCCCTCTGCAGCAGCATTTAACACAATTACACTAATTTGTTATATAATCCAAGAGCTTATGTAATTTTTACTTCAACTTGTGGTGCAGTTCAAAGAAGGAAGCTGAACTAGAAGGTATAAAAATGTGACCTTGAAAGGTTCATTGTCTGTTCTGAAACTGATGCCTGGAACATACTTCAACCAAACAGGAAATCCTCTGCACATACCACATAGCGAATATTTAAGAAACAAAAATTTGAAACAGATAAAATGACTTAGCGAATGACTAATAGGGGAAAAGAAGAAAGAATGAAAAAAGAAAGACCTGACATTGCAAAACAACCGAAGAGGGAAACTTAGATCTAAAGAAAGAGAAATAGTGGGTACCCAAAATTCCATTCTGCACAAACATAAGGTCCAATACGAAGGTGAGCGTAGAGCCCAGCTCTTTGTACAGTTTTCATGAACCTCACCAGGTCATATCTCCCTTCAAAATTATACTATAAACCACAGAAAACATAATAGTAAGGACCAACAAATTAAGAAAACTAAATGAGAAAAAGAGTGGGAAGCAGAGTTTAGCCGAACTAGAGAGAAAGTAAAGTACATTGCCAGGAGAAGGCTCATGAACATTCCAGAAAACATAAGTTTCAATGACATCAAGACCTCCATCTTTTGCCTTCCGTATCAGATCCTCCCACATCTGCACCAAAACAACTCTGTAAGAAACCAAACAAGTACCCACAAACAAGGAAAGGAGATGAAGAGAAATGTGTACGTACATCAGGGGTGCTTCTTGGATAATGAATAGAACCAGAGAAGAGAATTCTTCTTTGCCCATTTATCATAATTGCCTTCCTATCGTAGGTCACGGTACACTGGATCAGCTGAGAACCCAAACACAAACACAGGCATAACACAATGAACAACCTGGAAACCACCAAAGTTCCCATTTTTTCTCTTCAATCTCAGGCAGCTCACACTCACACTTCACAGACAAAGAAAGCTCTCTCTCCTTTTGGCGGTGGAGGGAAACTTGAAGCTAAAAGATAAAAGGAGAAAACAAAATGCGGGAAAGAGAGAGAGAGAGAGAGAGAGAAGGAAAAGAGGTGTTTGTGTTTGAGGTCTACTTGGCTTATTGTGGAGTAAGAACAACAGGGTCCATTGCTTGCTTTGGAGACTGAAACTCTGAGCAAAGAAACAATTTATAAGTGATTGATATCCACAGCTTTCACTCGCTCATCATACAGTACACAAGTGTCAATAGTCATGGCTGCGTGGCCATGAGCTACTAAAGCTGTAGTTACAGTAAAAACATTGAATGACCTGACACAGAAAGTTAATTTAATTTTAAGTATACTTTTACGGTTTCTTAAGTCAGATTTTACGATGAATACCTACTTCTATACCACCATTGGTGAGTGTTTAGCACGCGTTAACAGAAAGAATCCAGTAAAATTAATGAAGACAAAATAAAGTAAAGTATTGCTTTGGAGGTTATTATTATTATTTTCATTATCTGGGTATCTGGGATCTTTCCCCTTCAAGCCCTATATCATTGTTTATTTAAAGCTCAATTTTGGGAAGAACTTCTTCTATATCCGCATACCTGTAAAATATATTTGTATTGGAAATTTAACTCAAATCATATCACCAATTTCTTTCTACGGTCTCAATCTATCTCATTCATATGAGCTGTCGTTTAAAATATGTTTTCTCCGAGAAATTGACAACAGTACGTCAAAATTACGTAACATGTTTTAAATCATGTTTGTCTTTTACTGTTTCACGGATGCACAAAATGCTATAACAAGACAAGTACTTAAACAATCAGTTTGACGCACTTGCTTCCAAATTTTAACCTACAGAAATATTGCACAAGCAGCCAACAGACACAGCACAAGTCTCTATAAACATGGATGATTGAGGGGACTTTGACTTGAAAATATGATTTACAATCAACGGTGTTATGGTAAATTACCAATGACCTTTCCTTAATCCATACTAAAGAACAGATTGCTTCAATGGTTGCGGTTGTCTCGGCTGGGGTCCGTCGTCCTTCTTGAAGAAATAAACAAATATGGCCCCACCATTAAAATTTCCATGTGAACTCAGCTAAGTAAGAAGCCTCCCATCAAAGTATGAACCAAATGAAAACCATCCTTTCATCACTTTTTTATTTTGTCACAATTCTGCCTTCCAACCTAACCTCTACGGCTCTATATACTTCCTACTTTGTCTTGTCTCTCTTTCTTTCTCTGTAGATATACCTAGTTCTCATGCATGAATATCACTGGGATTTCTGTCGAAATTCATATTCCAACCACCTCCATAGAGTTCCATTTTTCCCCTACTCTTTCATTCTTTAACAATATTCTATGTTCAAACCCTCACTGGGATTAAACTTGTGTTACAAGTAAATATTTCTGAAGCAGATCAGTGTAGACTGTAGAGGAAGGTTCTGATCTGAGTCATGATTTTAATAATTTCTAATTAATAAAGATATGATTTTGTCACCAAGATTTTGTATCCCACTTAGACAGCGAATGGCAGAAAAACCATGTGAATGTATTCGACCAAGTAAAAGAAAAAAGAGAAAATTATTTAATGAGACCTCAACATATATTTCTTTGAAATTCATGGACGGAGAATATTAAAATAAAAGTAGTGTTTTGAGTTTAATAATCACTTTCTTATGAGCTGTTTCATTCAACCATCAGGTTTTTAGTCAGTGTCTGCGTGGTCAAATTTTAATTCATCGTCTTTAAATCTGTCCCCACGTGGCATGTTTTTAACAAACTAGTCGTGATTTATGAACTGGTTTAGTGGGTTAGGTTTGTTCTAATGAAACTTTGGCTTTTGGCCTTTTTTATAGGGTTCAACGGCGGGAAGGACGGAGGAATCAATTAAAGTCAGAAAAAGAGGAATAAAAACCCTAAAACAATGGGGCCATAGTCCCAACTCCCAATCCGGTTAGTATGACCACTTTGCTTACCCTCTTCTTACCGCAGATTTCGGATTTTTATAACTTATTATTATTAGGTCACCCACTGATCTCCCATATTATGAGATATGTCAACCATTCATCAATGGCATACCTAACGTTTTCTAATATATTATCATATCATTCATTAAACTTCCATTAATGACTTTATCAAAAAATTCTTTCATGGAGCTCGAATATTGAGCTGATGATGGAAACGGTCCCATGAAATCAATACCCCAAATATCAAAAATTTCACATACCAATATATTATTTAAAGGCATCTCATCTTTCTTAGAAATATTACCTGTTCTTTGGTAACGATCACAAGAGGATACGTACCTTTGAGCATCTCGAAACACAGTGGGCCAATAAAAATTTGATTGCAACACCTTTACCGCTGTGCGATTTGCCCCGAAATGCCCTTCGATTTCTCTATCATGGCAATGACTCAAAATAGCTCCAATCTCTTCTTTCGGCACACATTTTCGAACAACTTGATCTGCACATAGTTTGCACAAGTAAGGGTCTTCCCAAAAATAAAATTTGACATCAGCCAAAAATTTCTTCCTTCGCTGCAATGTAAAATGCCTTGGAATCCAGCCTCCTGCAAGAAAATTAGCCAAATCAGCAAACCATGGAGATTTAGAAAAAGAAGAGTTAAGAGATAGAATTCGCTCATCAGGAAATTCTGCACTAATATCTTCCTCTTCAAGGATTGAATTATCTAGTCGGGATAAATGATCAGCAACTTGATTTTATGTCCCCTTTTGATCTTTAATCTCCAAATCAAACTCTTAAAGTAGAAGAACCCATTTGATAAGGCGTGGTTTGGCATCCTTCTTAGCAAAGAGATGCCGTAGAGCTGCGTGATCTGTGTAGACTATGGATTTCGTGCCTATGAGGTAGGATCTAAACTTCTCGAATGTGAAGACCACTGCTAGTAATTCTTTCTCGGTTGTTGTGTAGTTCAGTTGTGGACCATTTAAGGTATGACTGGCATAGGATATAACCTAAAACATTTTGTCTTTCCCTTACAATGGCATAGTCACTTGCGTCACACATAATTTCAAAAGGGTTGTTCGAATTTGGTGCGACCACTATTGGTGCTGTCAATAGCTTCTCTTTCAGCAAATTAAAGGCCTGCAAACATTCAGAATTAAAATTAATTTTTACATCCTTGGTAAGAAGATTAGATAGAGATTTTGCAATTTTTGAGAAATCTTTAATAAAGCTTCTATAAAATCCTGCATGGCCAAGGAAACTTCTGACTGCTTGAACTGTTGTTGGGGGAGGTAATTTTTCAATCACTTCCACTTTTGCTTTATCGACCTCAATCCCTTGCTCAGAGATCTTATGTCCAAGCACGATACCTTCTCATACCATAAAATGGCGCTTCTCCCAATTCAGCACAAGATTTGATTCCTCACAATGCTGTAAAACTAATGCAAGATTTTGCAAACAAGATTCAAAGTTTAGTCCATACAACGTAAAATCATCCATGAAAATTTCCAGAAATTTTTCAGTCATGTCAAAGAAAATTGCCATCATGCAACGTTGGAAAGTAGCTGGCGCATTACATAAACCAAATGGCATACGTCCATAAGCGAATGTGCCATAAGGACAAGTAAATGTTGTTTTCTCTTGGTCCTCTAGAGCAATAGGAATTTGATAATAACCAGAATAGCCATCAAGAAAATAGTAAAATTTATTACCCGCTAATCTCTCTAACATCTGATCAATAAATGGCAATGGGAAATGGTCTTTTCTAGTGGCAGAATTTAATCTTCTATAGTCTATATACACACGCCATCCAGTTACCATCCTAGTGGGGATAAGCTCATTATTTTCATTCTTCACTGCAGTCATTCCCGCTTTCTTAGGCAATACTTGCACAGGACTAATCCAAATACTATTAGAGATAGGATAAATAATACCTACATCGAGTAATTTTACCACTTCTTTTCGTACCACTTCTTGCATGGCAGGATTTAATCTCCTTTGCGGTTGTACTGTTGGCTTGAAATTCTCTTCCATGAGGATTTTATGCATGCAGATGGAAGGGCTTATTCGCTTGATATCAGCAATTGTCCATCCCATCGCCTTCTTGTGCTTCCTCAAAATGTCTAGCAGTGACTTCTCCTCCAAATCTGTCAAAGATGTAGAAATAATCACAGGGTAAGCATCTTTATCTAGAAAAACATATTTTAAATGTGAAGGAAGAGGTTTAAGCTCAAGTTTAGGAGCCTCATTAGGAGTTTTATACAAATCCTCCTTTAGCTCCATATTATTATCAGTAAGAGATTCTTTCTCTAACGCTTCAGCTTCTTCTCTCAAGCATGGGTCTTCATCTTCTGTTGTGCTTGACTTCATTAGACATCTCTCCAAAGAGTCCATCTGCAAAACTTCTTCTCTATGATCACCTACAATCCCACCAAAACTGTCAGAGTGAAACAAGATTCAATATAAAATGCAGTAGGATTTTTCATCGCTTTATGGACATCAAACACTATTTCTTCGTCATTTAGTCTTAGAATTAATTTTCCTTGTTGCACGTCTATCTCAGATTCAACATAAAGTGATGAGTTTGAGTATCGTCCCACAGAGATCAAAGTGAATATTTGTAATTACCTAAAACTACTTACACGTTATTTGAGAAAATGAAATCTTAGAGTGTAAAAATTAACAGATTAAAAACAACTAAATTAAACAAATAAATAATGTGATGAACTTTGCAATATTAATGAAGTTAGGGTACAGATTTCCCCCTAATTATGCTTGACAACTACTCTTAATACTTGTTTATGCTATGAATTGGTAGGATTCTTCTAAGGCCAATTATCCTTATTCAGGCATACTATTCAACTTCATACAGATCTCTATTCGGTTACTCTGAAATTAAGAAGTATAAATTCATCAATCCCTTATGACTAATTCGCCCTATTTGGTTATGAATTAGCTAGACCACAAATTAATCCTAGAATCTCTATTCGATTAATTCTAGTTTTAATATGTTGTGCAATGTTATTCCCATAGAACAATTATGAATATGAATTAAGCAATAAACCCTAACTTCTCTATTCGAAACATCATCAAGGTAATTAAACCTAAACTCTTGCACAAATTCATAAACATAAATCTGGTATTAAGAATAAAATTTGTTCAAAACATAATTAGGGTTCCATCCTCCCCTAAC